TTCTATTCTATTCTATTCTATTCTATTCTATTCTATTCTATTCTATTTCTATGCTATGCTATGCTATACTATACTATACTATACTATACTATACTATACTATACTATACTATACTATACTATATTATTCTACGCTATTCTACGCTACTGTATGTTCTACTCTACTCCATTCCATTCTTATTGCTATTCTACTCTACCCTACCCTATTCTTTTTGCTATTCCATTCTTATTGTTATTCTATTCTTATTGCTATTCTATTCTTATTGCTATTCTATTCTTATTGCTTTGCTTTGCTATTCTATTCTATTCTAACAGGCAAATTCATGGGGAAGCCAGATTCATTTAACAATTTTGTTACTAATTTAACAACTGGAGATTCACTTAACAATTGTGACAACAAAGGTTGCAAAATGGGGCAAAACTCACTTAAGCAAATATCTCACTTAACAACAGAAATGTTGGTCTCAGTTGTGGTCGTAAGTTGAGGACTACTTGTATTTCACATTTAATCCAACACTAGAGGTTTTTAAGAAGAGACTGGACAGCCACTTGTCTGGAATGGTATAGGGCTTCCTGCTTGAGGAGGAGGTTGGACAAGACCTCCAAGGTCCCTTGCAACTTTTTAATTCTGTTATTCACCTCCAAAACCCCTCCCAACTCTGTTATTCTGTTAAAAGTGTGCAAACTGCAGAAAGCATGGGCAATACTGTACAGATTCAGCTTAAAAGTGGTGCTTTGGAGGGTGGGAGGAGAAAGATTGCTTGTAAATATATACTACACAGGATTGGGAGGAGGGGAGTTTTAAGACAAACCACGACCGGAAGAATGTGGGCATAGGAGTGTGAGACTCTCAATAAGCTAGCAGTGCAAAGTTAGGAATGCTTTGTTGCAGTCTCATGAAAATTGTGTTTTTAAAATCAGTTTGCGGTGGTGGTTGTTTTTTCCAAGAATGATAATTCAGAGTTTCTGGGGTGGGTGGGTGGGGGGGCTGTGCATTTTTGGATGCTGTTTTAGCTTTTATTGTCAACTGTTACTCTCGTGGTGGTTTTCTTTGTCCTCCTTAAATGATTTGTCATGTTTTTTGTCAGTTTACCACTCATGAACTCTTTTGTTTCATTTTGTTGATGGGGTGGTTGGTTGGATCCAGTAAACAAAGACACTTATTGAGGCTCCTGTGGATTTCCTTTCTTCTTACATTTAAACACCGGCTGCGAACTGAAGATAACACGCATGGGGGAGAGAGAGTGGTTCCTATTTTATTTTACTTCTCCAACAACCCTTTGAGATGGGTTAGATTAAGAACTTCCTGGTTGGGTGAGGACTAGAACCAGGGTATTCCCCCAGTCACTTTTTCCAGTGCTGTTGTAACTTTGAACAGGTAACTAAGGGTTGTACGTCAAAGACTACCCAGTGTCTTGCACATGAGTTTCTTCTTGTCTGCAGCAAAGCAACTTATCTGGTGTGCCAGGCCCATGGAGCTTCTGCTGTCAGCTAGTTCCTAAAAGCAGCATTGAGCTTCTGGATTACTGCGGGGGTGGGTGGGGGTGGGGCTTTGTGAAATCTGACACACAGCAAG